TGAATATAAATAAGACTAATGAGATAGAAAACAGATAATACGGTACCGTTACCAAATGAGAATTAGGATTGAGGGTTGTTGATAAGAATAAAGCAGTATATTTGTTAAACACCAGTGAGTACAAAAGTGATTTTACGATGTTCCAAGACTCATTACGAGTCCTTTGTTCAGAGAATAAATAATCGAGTTAAATTAATATAAATTTAAATTATACAGAGAAACATAACAATATATTTGGTACTGTTAAATAAGTTTGATTACGCTGATGTCATAATGTTCAGATCAGATGTGTGATATATACATATATATTCGAGAAACCCTGGGTGTGTATGACAAGAGTAATATATCTTGACGTGAAGAAACAGATCCAGTTTGTGAGTCGATGACATAAGATTTGAACAAACTAGGTATAATTGTTTAGAAAAATGGTTTAAGTTACATGGATACCAAAATCTTTTATATTGGGTGCAGTAGGGTTTAGGAACTTATAAGGGAAGCTTCAGTTACTCGCCTAGTTTTATAGTTGGGAAAAGCGTTTAGAATTATTTCGATATTTTAACTATCGACTTGATGGGTGATGAAAACAGACTAATGCAATCACTGATTTAATTTGTAAATTCTCGAGTTTCACAAGATTATTTGGTATCATTAGGTATCATGAGAAGACTACAGCATAGAAGAGATCATAATCAAGACAACCACTTCTATAGGGACAATTCTGTTTATAAGTAGAAAGACTCAGACTACAGCATTTCGAAAAGTTGGCTGTTCTGTAAAATACTTTAATTTTGTTTAGTTTTAAGACTTCCAGCAATGTTTCTACCATACGATAGCGGTAAGGTAAGACTTATGAACAATCCATGAAATTTCATCTAATTAATTATTCAACAATAAATTGTTTTGTTTATGAAAATTATTGAAATGCAATATGTTTATCATATTATTTTATTACCTCCGCTTAATCTTCTTTGAATGTGGTGATTTCAGTAACACTTCTGAATGTAAATGAAGTCAATATAGCAATATGAATGTGTAGGTTCAAAGTAGAAGGTCATAATTAGAGTTTCATTTAAATTTCTTTTGATTAAATAGTTTAAAATAAGCAAGTTATTGTGTTCATTTTCACCTTCATGAAAAGAAAAACTTAGTTTGAATAAAAAACTTATCTATCTATCTATCTATCTATCTATCTGTCTAAGAGAAATTCCTAAAAATGTCTTTTCAATAACGATTTATAATCTGATATCATTCGTAAAAGTATATGGATTTTGTATAAGACATTAGTAAATTAATGACAGTCGGAAACACAAGGAATCTCATTCAAGCTCTCTATATCTACACAAAATACTTGTAGAATATAGATACTATTTTATATGGATTTTTATTGTCAGAATGGGTTTTGGTTAAGCGCTTGGCACGAGACCGATAGGTCTTGGGTTCGAATCTCGCGGGGGGCGGGATCGTGGATGCGGACTGCTGAGAAGTCCCATACTAGGACGAAACGGACGTCCAGTGCTTCCAGGTTTTCCATGATGGTCTAGCTTCAACCAGTGAAATTATATGGATTTATTCATTAATTTATATAAGTAGCGATTTAATAACAAGAATTTCAGCAAGTTGATTTATTCGATAACCAATTTTTCTTTTGAAAAAAAATTAGATGTTAGGAAAGAAAACAAAACACTTTTAATCAAAGCATTTATAGTTGAATATAATGAAATTTGTTATTTAATTGTATAGAGATATATGAATAAATAACTTTTATTCAAAGTAAGAACAGCAGATATTCGTTAATGAATGAACCCACATTTTATCTTGAAAAAAAGAAAGAAAGAAATTGTTTCTATCCGTTGTTGTTAAGCTGACCAAATGATTTATGAATATGGAAATGTCTTGAAAGGTTTATGTTAACCGTATATGTATATATATATACACGCGTCAGACAAATAAATCTCCATATGAGATATTAATGACAAGAAATATATAATGGGAAAAATAATATTTCAGTTTGTTTAAATATATTTATTTAACATAAATAAGGGTGTTAATATCTTAATCATAAAAACCGAATATCATTTTTGTGTACAATAGATCATGTCATCAATATAGATCTAAATAGATTTTGTCACATGGGAATTTCATTTGTTTTTTTTTTTGTTTTTTTGTTGTAATTGTGAAGTTTTCCTTTTTTTATTTTAACTGACAACTATTCAGAACCACCGTTTTCATTATTATTATTATTATTATTATTATTATTATTATTATTATTATTATTATTATTATTATTATTATTATTATTATTATTATTATGTATATCACTACAATTTCGAGTGTTATTGGGGAATTCGGTGTTATTATAAATTTAGTTGAGTTTATTTAACACTCTTTTGAATTGGAAAATATTTTGGATTGGGAGTGTCCCTTACACTGATATGAATAAAACTTTTAAATCCTTGCCCCTAAATGCTCTGGTACGGCTGAGAGTTGGGAGAGTCAACTCTCCTTGTCGAAATGCTGTCAAATGACTACGTGCATACAATCACTGCCAGGGAAGTCCTACTCAATGCTTTCTCATGGTGGAAGTTTTTATTACGAAAATGAGAGGAGGAAATGCGAATGTCCGGTGCTTTGTCCGGGTTGGTGGATATGAATGATCCACCTAAGGGAGTTGGAAAACCCTGATTCTAAACCAACGGTGTACATGGGCTTTAGGATCCTGAAGGAAACAAATGGCGTATGAACCGATTGTTGGTCACCGGCTACCATGAAACTGCATCTCCTGAAGTTGCTCCAGTGTCTTTTAGATTAGACCTTCAGGTCAAATGCTCGGGGTATGAACCTTTAAGAAAGCCGACTGCTTCGGTTTGGGTAGCAGGGCAGTATTCCAGCCCTCACATAAATTGAATAAATGAATAAAATAAATTTCAATCCTTAGTATTTTTCAACATATTTTTTTCAAACCGGTTTCAGTCCAAGGTAAAAAATTTATCCAAATACATTTTGCTTTGAATTAAATATCACTATTTATAATTACGGTTCATATTCTGTTTAACAGTTGATATGGGAGTATGAGTAGTTGATACATACAATAAAATTTGATTTGTTTATCAATGAAACTATGGAATTTACCACACTATGAAAACAATTATTATATAAGCATAATCCATTACACAGTATTATTTTTATCATTCATCTCTAATCAGGAACCGATTTCCTTTGTTTCTGTTTTATAATTCTTATATTTCTCTCTCTAGAAGAAACATAACCAAGAGACTGGATGATAACATACACTCCAGATCTTCATTAATTTGACTAGTAGAAGAATGATCAGTTTTCTTTTAATTGTTGAATTCATGAGTCAACCTAGTTAGACCACTATTGAAAACCTAAAAACATAGAACGGCTATTTCTTACGAATATGGGACTCGTTAGGAATGTGTATTCACGATTTTGCATGTGGGGTCGTGGATGTGCACTCCTGAGAAGTCCCATGCTTGAACGAAAATATTGTCTTATGTTTTAGGTTTTCAATAGTGGTCTAGCTAGGTTGACTCATGAATTCAACTATTAAAATTACTATAATCTCTACAAATCTCCGTCATAAGGAAATTAAACATCTTTCAGAGCATATATTCTAACCAGACAGAAGGTGTTTTTGAGTAGATGATAAGTAAATGTATTATTTTATGCAATTGTTTATTTTCACATTTATAAATAGTGAACCATTGTAAAATTTTGACTTGTGAATTTGTGTTTAAAACATACACTGTATGATTATTTATGAGATTACAAGAAAACTGCATAGCTTACGTTATACTATGGAATTTCATGAAAATTAACTTGGAGCCCAGAAATTACCACCACAAATCGTTTCAACAACAAATAACATAGCTTTTAAGCAAAAACTTCAGGAAGATCCTCGTGAAGACATCTTGTTCTACCGTTGAGATACGGAAAATTATATCCAGTGGAATATTGATGAAAAAATACCCTTTTCTAATTATACAGACACTTAAAGTATTATTTGCTTAGTTAAAATCGCACATATTTTGACTTGAGATCGATAAAAGTTCCAATATCGATACAGGCGCTGGTGTGGGTTCATTTCCGTCAAAATATAGCAATCATTATACCGGGAAAAAAGTTTGAGCTGTAAATGTGAGAAGATTTACCTTCGCTGACTCAGTCACTGAGATCTTTACGAGTGATTTGTGATTTCCGATCTTCTAAATGGTAGTCGATTAATTTATGTGAAACCACTCGTTCAAATTCTGACGAATATTTATTGAGTATACAATTATTATTATCATTGACTGTACACCAGAAATTCGAAAACGGATTCATTTTAAGGTTTCTTCGTGTAATTATAAACATTGACTGATGCCAAATAACATATGATTGGTAACCTGTGGGAAATGTTAACCTTAGTAAGTAACATTTTCTCTATGCGAAATTCTTCATTCGGAACATACTACTGTTTATTAAGACCTTTTTTATCAAGAAAAAGCTAAATCCATTATTCGAATTTCTAATGTTGTAATTGATAAGCAAAGTGATTAGAAATTAAATAAAATAGTGTTGTAAATAGCTGGAGGAATAATAAGTGCCTTTTTTGTTACCACATACTTCATTGAGTTTCTTTGGGCAGAGACTTAAATATCCTGTATTCGTCTGAGATAAACCCTTATTCTTAAAAAAATGTTATCATTGTTTATCTCCTAGCTAGTTAGCGAATTCAGTTACTTCATTTAAATTATAGCAATGTTATTGAGCACGTTTTTAAATCTCTCTATCCATTGTAGTAAAAGATTAAATTTTTGGGTATTTAACCGCCTACTTTAAATATGATTTCGTTTGTTCCAAATCTTTAAAAGGTGGATTAAAATAATTGCCTTTCACTACAGATTCGTGTTATACGGAAGGTGACAATATAGAGTACTTGTATCATTATCTTTACATTCATTTTATTTCTTTTTCATATCTAATTCATTATCAACTAGCTCCTCAATGTGCTGGATGCAAACAATTGGTAATGGATCGAACTATTCTACAAGTTCTTAATCAGAGTTGGCATGTAAACTGTTTGAAATGTATGGATTGTGGTACTTCCTTATCAGAGAAATGTTTTGTACGAACAGATGAATTGTACTGCAAAGAAGACTTTTTTCGGTAAGTTAGCAATTATATATATATATATATATATATAGATTTGTTATTCATATGAAAACTATCTGAATTTGGAAACACATTGATTACCGAATTTTAGGTTATTTATACATCAATCAAACGAATGAATACTTGATAGCTATCTTTTATGAATTACCATCAAATGGATTGCATCATAATGTTGATTCATTAAGATTAATGATTATACACTAAATGTCGACCCAATATTGATTTATCCAGTATTGATAACCACATAATATTACTCTACTACTGAATAGCATTTTCTTTTGTACACTAAATACCTTTTTAATAGTTAAGATCAGGAGTCAGTTGAAGCTAAACCACTACGGAAAACCTGAAAGCAATGGACGACCGTTTCGTCTGTTGTGAGATAGTAAGTCACTGATGACAATGGTGGACGTCATTCAACCACGTCGATTAGTTGAAGTTAGACATTGACAACGTTGGAGGCCAGCCTAGTGGTCTAATGCTTAAGCACTCACGCGCGAGATCGATAGATCCTGGAATGCGCGCTGCTGAGGTATCCCACAATAGGACGAAACGGCCGTCCAGTGCTTACAGGTTTTCCATGATGGTCTAGCTTCAATTGATTCATGATCTTAACTATTAAAATTAATATAATATCCACAAAACCCCTTCTGATATAAATACCTTTTGCTTTATCAAATAAAATTTACTTATCATATACATTAACAACTACATAAAGAAATGATAGACAGTTTTTTTTAAATGGCACTCAATTCAAAAAAGAATTAATATTAATACGAATATTAGTCAAGATTGGAACGAATAGTTTGACAATAATTGGGCACCGAGTATAGAGAATTCATTATATGTGAAAATTATATTTGAATTAATCTCAATGATTGGAATTTAAAATAATTCCAATGTTTCGTCCAGCAAACTTGTTCGACCTTCTTCAGGATAATAATCAGTTAGGATTAGTACCGTCAATGAATGAATATTAATGCTCCTTTATTCTCTTTCCTATAATCACTTATTTGTCATTTGTGTTAGTATAGTAGAATTTGCAACAACAACAACAACAACAACAAAAACACAACAAAAATTGTAGGTTTAATCAGTCACAATTATTTATTAGCTGTTTTCAATTGTCAATTAAATTAAATTACACTTATTTAAATATGTCTGTGTATATCATTTTATTATGTGAATGTAAAATAAATCATTTTAAAACAAGTAGATAAATGATATGAACATTGTACTTCATACTTAAACATTATTATTAGTAGTATTGTTATTAACATTTCTTTCATTTTTGTACACTACTACTACCACTATTACTACTACTACTACTAATAATAATAATGATATATGAACAGGGAACTAAGAATGAAAGAGGAATATTTACACTGAAAAATAGAAATAAATAGTTTTATCACTTTGTAGTTATAATTCATTTACTCCTCAAAATCTATTCGAACATTAACTAAATTGGGATTATATTCTTTGAGGTGTTTTTTTTTTAGTGTTATTATTGTTCAGAGAGATATATTCTTTTTTCTAATTAACTAAATGGTGTTTATCCATTAGATTGAAAAAAAAGGGAATGGATTTGTTTTGTTTGTCTGTTTTTTTTTCTGTGTGTATGTATGTGTGTGAAGATTTTTCATTCATTAATTTTTCTCGAATTTTTACTTCATTCTTTTATTTATTTATCTATCAACAACCCCCTTTCATTGGAGATTTCAGTCTTCACTTAACTGACTATTCGTTAATTATACCGGCCACCCCCTTCCCTCTTTCCCTCCCTCTCTTATCGATAAATACAGACACACATGTAAATTATTTTGTTAGAATAAGATAGAAATTTCAGTAGTTTGTTTTCTTGACAGATAAACGCGACATTTTATTCATGCTCATTGTATTTATTATCGATATTATTATGAGTATTATTCATATTTGTTATTATTGTGGTGAAAAAAAAGAAGAAGAAAAAGAGGAAAACAATTCCAGACTAAATAAGGTGTCATGAAATTTATTAGATACAAGTTGTCTGTTATTTTTATAATTTTGGCATGAATAGAAAGCTTATTGATAATCTCTTACAATACAAACTAACTCAAATAAGATGAGTTTTCTCATGTTTCTCATGTCAATATAAGAATATTAAAAATAATGAGAAAAAGTTAATAAGTTAATGTATTATAGGCCTTAAATTATAAGATAGATTAGATTAATCCATATACCTTATTAACCTTTATTCACGTGTTCATTTTATAATAAAAACATTTTAGTCTTGTTGTCTTACAACACATATTGTTGTATATTTTTTCCTTTATGTATAAATAATCACTATTTAAATGGTTTAGGGTCATATTCAGCTAGTTAATAGTGATCTTGATTACATACACTATTGTAAGATTCATTGAATCTATGATTATAGAGACAAATATTATACAATGAAATTGAAAAAAAAATCATATTTTCTAAAAAATAAATAAATTTACAGATCATTAATGATTAGTAGTTAGGCGGGTACTTTTAAATCGATCAATCAAATTTTCCTGATAATCAGCTTAATTTCAGTTTTTCTTCTAATTCAATACCGTGGTAGATAAATATCATCAGTATGTGGTCGTGGAGATTGTCAAATTTTTGATTGACATTCTGAATCAATCTAGTCATGTTCTCTATAAACTTGAAATATATCATTTATAGAATTCATGATTATCCCCAAAGCATGTTGATAAATATCAGTTTTATAGGAACAGTCAGTATGGCAAACAATTTATCAAGTTGTCTTGGAAGCAAAAATGTTTCGATATATTAAAGTTTTTTTTTCTTGAATCGAATTAACTCCGAGTGCTTGTTTCTGTTATAGAATAGTCATCAAGTACTTCTTCTTTGAATAGCATTTCATTGAACCATTTATCTATGATCAACAGAAATGAACTATAACGTTTATGCAAGCCAGAAGTGAAAAAGACTATATTTAACCATGATCTTGGTAAAACAGCTAATATAAATGGTAAATTTTCCTTTATATTACTCATTAATCAAAGCAGATATCTATTTGTAAGTATATAAATGATATTAATTTTCTTTAATTAATTATTTAGTCGCTTTGGAACAAAATGTGCAGGTTGTGATAAAGGTATTCCACCAATGGAAGTTGTTCGGACAGCTCAAGAAAATGTATATCACTTAGATTGTTTTTCATGTGTCACCTGTGCTCGTATGTTAAATACAGGCGATGAATTCTATCTATTACGTGATCGAAAACTAATGTGCAAGTCAGATTTTGAAACTGCTAAAGCTCGAGGTAAAAAATATTTTTGATAAAAATCTAAAATAATATAATAATTTCAGGTAAAAAATTTTAATAGTTGGGATCATGAGTCAATCAAAGATAGACCACCATGAAAAACCTGGAAGCGAATGCTCACTAGTGACTGGCTTCAAGAGGTATTTCCTGGAGTTCTAGTGAGAAGCAATGAGCAGTAGAGTTCAACCGGGTCTGTTGTCAGATAGTAACTCACAGAAGAAAATGGTGGGTGTGTCACTCAATTTCGTCGATTAGTTGAAGTTCGACATTGAAACTGTTGGATGCCAGCCGGATCAGTGGTCCAGTGGTTAAGCGTTCGCGCGCGAGACTAATAGATCCTGGGTTTGGATCTCGCGAGGCGAGGTTGTGGATGCGCACTGCTGAGGAATGCCGCAATAAAACGAAACGGCCATCCAGTGCTTACAGGTTTTCCATGGTGGTCTAGCTTCAATTGACTCATGATTTCAACTATTGAAATTAACATAATGTCCACAAAAACCCCTTCTGATAAAAAAAAGTTTTTGTAGTAATTTATCTATATGAAGATACTTCTAATGGTTTGTTACCATGGTACTCGTGGACAGTTAGGTAATTAGGTTTACACTTTTAAAAAAATCAGATTACACCCATGTTGTGAATTTCTAATTTCTTATACTGTCAGAAAAGTTTATTTGACCATATATTCTTCGTGTAGTCTTAATCTGGTATTTTTATGTTTCATCATCCCAGACTAGGACGAAATGGCCGTCCAGTGCTTCCAGGTATTCCAAGGTGGTCTAGCTTCAATTGACCCATGAATTCAACTATTAAATTATATTATTTTCTTGATAAATTTACACCCTTCTAAATCAAGCTATCATGGATAACGTGATGTATTAAATATAGGGGTATGGTATTTGAGATTCACTTCTGAGATGGTGGAGAGAATTCGTAGCTCAGGTGGATGATTTTACTGGAGTTTTATTCTTTGGCTGGATGGTTTGGTCTTGGAGCTTTCATCGTTCTTCTGAACGACATGATCAGCACAAACTTCAGATAGAAGACCAAACCATCCATCTCAGAGAACAAAACTCCATGGAGATTAACTTCTACCAAACTTAACCTGTGAATTGTATTTACAGGAAATGCAATGACTTTATTGTAATATTTAAAAAATATGCATATGTATTTATATTACAATTTGATCTTTTTGAATTATAAATATACTTAACTAAGTAAATGAATTACTTTACATCTATATTTTTTAGAAGCAGAATTAGATAATGCTAATAAACGTCCTAGAACAACTATTTCAGCCAAACAACTGGAAGCACTTAAAAGAGTTTATGGTGAAAGTCCAAAACCTGTACGTCATATCAGAGAACAACTTAGTGAAGAGACTGGTTTAGATATGCGTGTAGTACAAGTATGGTTTCAAAATCGTAGGTAAGTTTAAATATTTATTAAAATTACTAACTTCAGATGATATCAAAAATCAAAAACTCAAATGCGGAGTGAAAAATACTTAGGTTATTAGAAATATTATGTATAGATGTATTTCATTTATTCAAGTTAAATATACATGTCAAAACTACAATAAAATAAAAACTCCTGAATGATCATATTCCGAATGAAAATGATGATGGTTATTTGAGCGAGAGACCTGATGTATATATGTAATTACTAATTTTTCAGGAATCTCATAGAATAAAAGATAATCATTACTTTAAGTTTAAGGGGAAGAACCGCACAACACAAAATCAACTACATATTATTGTAAACATACTGGGGTTTAGTAAGCGTTGGAATAGCTCAATGGTAATATATCTAATTATGTCAATAAGTCATGTTACTTCAAACTTATAAAAAATTACCATTCCCCTTAAAACTGCAAATACATTTCACTCTTAAATAGAAGGAAGAAAATGTTGATTAAGGGATTTCTGTTGGTTGATTTCAATCAGTCAATATCAAAAAAGCGCATTATCACTTAGCCTACATTTCCAACTGAGAGATACAGCTCTATCATTCTTAAAAACGACATAATTTAAAACCACGGTCCACACAGTGAGTAATTAGTATAGACAAGATTAATTGTGATGGTTTAGTCTAACTGGATATGGAACTGAATATCTAATGTGGTGCTTACCTAATCTCTACCAATACTAACTTCATAATGACTAAAATGAATATAAAATCTAATGTTGAACTCGCATTAAGGTGAATAACTTCGTCTTTACAGTAAGTATAACCGTGGTACATAAATGTAGTAAATATATATGTGATGTGCATAAGAAGTAAAAAAGAAGATTTGGGAAAATCATCCATTTTTTACGCTGCTTTTCTATCAATTTCATTTTTCACTCAAAACCACCTTCATTTTTACACCAACCACTGGTTAAATAAAAAAAGTACACAGAGTATTCACATCCGTCTATCTATCTATCTATCTGTCTATCGTATTTATTTTACTGTCTATTTATTTTTATTTCTATCTCCCTTTCCCTTTTCTTTTCTCTCCATTCTCTCTCTCTCTCTACTTCTATCATCATTCTAAATTTCATTTATGTGTATGTGTACGTAATAAGAAAATACAAAATATTCCCCAAGGTAAAAAAAAAGAGAGAAGAGAAGCATTTCTGGTTGATGAAAAATAAATATTTATTTCTACTGTGGTTGTTGTATTGCCTTTTTTTATTGGCTTTTGAATTGATGATGATGATGAGTGAATGGATTTCAAAAATTCATTCATTCATTCATGCATAGATTTTGCATTTCCACTGGAATGCATAATTCATCATATAACCACCCTTGCAAAAAATATTTTTAAAAAAAACAAACAAACTACTTTAAAGAATTTTTAGTTATGCATGTGGTTTTTGTTTTTCTCTGTCCATTTTTCACTTATTCACATATTCTATTGTATGCGTGTGAATTCTATTTTTCTTTTTTTCTTTTTTCTTTTTCTTTTTTCTTCTTTTTTTCATTATCTACTCCAGCATATATAAATGTATATTAAGTCCTCTGTACTGTTATCGAATTATGTATTTTATTTGGCTGATTATAAATAGACTTAAAAAAGTTCTTCATCTTTTATTCTGAAAAGATATTCACTTATTCCCTCAAGAGTTATATATATATATATATATATATATATATATATATATATATATATATATATATATAGTAGTACAGAAGAATTAATGTAAGAGATATATTGTATAATAATATCTAAATTTTATATGCCAAGAAGTTTAATTATTCTAAAAAAGAAGGAAAGGACAATTTCACTGAGTATAACAAATCATTGTACAATTGATGAGTTCAGTATGTATTATGAATGAAAATAGAATAGATTACTATTGTGAGGAGTTTAAACTGGTAGATGAATATTAATTTCATTATATTTGATGAATTTATGGGGGGGGGGGAAATGAAGAAGATTCAGTGGTTTAATTTTCTATATTTCATATGGTATATTAATTCTATAAATGACTGATATAAGCGATATACATATATATTTAATATAAAGTAATATATAAATAAAATAGGAAAGTGACTAAAAGAGTTAAAATAGAAATGAAATTGTTATCATTATTGACGAAATGATTTACAGTCAATATAATCAACATTAACTTCTGATAACTTTATTAAGTGTTTCCAAACAACAGATTTGATATTATATCTTCTACGGCAGTGGAATCAAGGACGTGCGTTTCATTCTATTTGGGAATGGTCAGCTAGATGTACCTGCATCTGTTCTGATGTTCACTCTGGGACTTGAACCTTGTATCTTTCGCTTGAAACGCCATTGAGTTATCCACCTAGTTACTGAGTTTTGATAGCCAATAACAATGGGAAGATACAAGTAAACAACATCAAGTGAATATAACTTCACCCCATCGCACAAGCAGATGGCTATCAGGATTCAGTAGCTAAATGGATAACGCGATGTCGTTTGAAGCAAACTGTACTGCGTTCGAGTCCCAGAGTGAACATCGACTCTGACATTCAGGTACATCGAGTCGACGATTCCCGAATAATACGAAACGCGGGTTCCCCATTCCACTGCTAGCCACTACCCATTTTTGCTTAGAATGCCTGTGAATTAAGACAATATCGAGCTGATACGCACAGAATGCACATATGCCAACAACAGACTGATCATTTGTAGTCGTAATTAACAATGGGAAGATACAAGTGAAATAACACTAAGTGAACAGGATTTTTGTAGTCATCGGGATTAGTTTCCAGTGAACACTTTGAGTCCACTATTTAAGATCCTAATATATTTCTTTTCTTTCTTTTGACCTTAAGTTTCATCCACATATTTGATAACTGGTTCAGCTTCATGACCAGTTAGATGGATTATATAATCTATATAAAAATAAAATCAATACAATTCATGATCTCAACCAAAAACTTAACAATCTCCATGATCCCTTACTGATAATTACTATCGGCTCACTGGTGACTAGCTTCGTGAAGGAATTCTCGGAGTTCTAGTGAGAGGCCATGACCAGTGGAGCTAAGTCATGTCAGATAAAGACAAGTATCTACCTCAGACGATGGAAGATAGTAGCATAATTTCGTGGATTGGTTGAACATTAACTACGTTGGATGCCTGCTCAGTGGTCTAGAGGTTAAGTGTTCGCGCGCGATATTGAAGTTCTTGGGTTCGAGTCGCGTGTGCGGGATCGTAGATGCGTACTGCTAAAGAGTCCGATACTGGAACGAACCGACTGCTCAGTGCTTCCAGGTTTTCAATGGTGGTCTATTATTGATCGACTCATAATCTCAATCAAAGACTTAACAAGCCCCACAACCCTTTATGATCAATACAACTTTACCTCGATCTTGATAGATGAAGCTTCTTAGCTTATAATTACTGTAATTACGGCTTTTTAATGTAAGATAAAGTCAGAATATATGGTATATTGATAATCTTTTGTTTGAATAGTATGTAAACATTAAAACTAATTGGTTAAATTAATTTCAATGTTAAATGTTTTTGAATCTTATTTATTAGGGCAAAAGAGAAAAGATTGAAAAAAGATGCTGGAAGGAATATCTGGTCAATTTCTGACTCTTTATTAATCAGTAGTACAAATACAAGTACTAATAGTAATACACCTGTTTGTATGAATGAACCATACTTATTTTCAACATGTTCAAATGATTTAGATAAAAGTTCTGCACCATACTGCGGTGATAATTCAATTATATTAGATGATTCAACTAGTGGAGATGAATATCTATCTAAAGATGAATTTCAAGGTTCTGGTTCAAGTAAGTTTATTTTCACTTATACTCAAGTTTTTGAATTTAAGTAACGAAATGTTGATATAGAAGTAAAATACCCTGGTAATTCTATCTAGTGTCTAGCTATGTACAATCTTCAATCGATTTTATTCTTATTCATCAATAGGACACAGTTTAGATAATTATTAAAAATGTTTGTTACTCAATGAGCGTTTTCATTTAATAAGGAAACAATTTGAAAATGTTAAGTAATTCATCAACATTTATAAGATTATCCTTAATAATTTTAAAAAGATATAGTATAATCAAATGGTTCACTTTATGGAACCGTCCCTGAAGAAACTTTTGAAGTAATAATGAATTTCTACCGCATTTTTTTGTTTTAACAGAATTTGATTTATAATATGATATCCTCCTATTCTTATAGTTATATTAATTATTGTCCATATGATAGCATAATTCGATCATTTAAAATAAATTAGCAATTCAATGACAAGGAAATAAAATATCAACATTCTTCAGTATCGGTAGTTGAAGTTGATATCTATTCATTCACAATGTGATTTATGCTGAGGAGTTCCACAATAGAATGAAATGGCTGTCCAGTGCTTTCAGGTTTTCCATGATAGTCTAGCTTCAGTTGACTCATGATCTCAACTATTGAAATTAAAATGACCTTTTTTACACTTATCAACTTGAATAAAAAGGGGTTTTTGACAGAAAAGTTAGTTATTCTTTACATCTTTACTAATATTTTGAAGCTAGTTTGGTAAATGCAACATCGTATTCTCTGCTAAGATAAGAATGAATTCTACTCTTTGTATAACTTTGGTGTGCGCTAATTAAGTAGTATATAACGCTATTCAAGAATAGAATGTTTGGCAGCAGAAGGTTAAGAAGATCGAAGAAAAAATAACGAGAACAGAGAATGATGGATGTGGAAACGAAAGAACAACAAAGTCTGAGACGATTGACTGATATTTTGTTAATGAAGTATTTACTGTATGGTTCTCAGAAATTCGGTAATTTTGTGTTCAAATACATTCGATTGTCCCCAATTTTATTCTCGTTCACTATATAACTACACTAGATCAGTAACAGGTGATTTCAATCTAAGATTTATTAGTTTCAAGTGAGCTTTTATAAAAGTAACAGAGATTAAGTTTTATTGAATAGATTTTAAGATCCGATATTAGATTACAAATGTTTCATTTGGTTTATGAAATAACTTTAATGTAGTTATTGTTGGCTTACGAATTCACAGAATCATTGGCTTTCGATTCAAACACTCCGTATTTGTAATCTTTTTGCCAACTATTATTAAGCATTTAGATTTTGGAGATATTTATAACAATTGGACTAAGTTAATATTCGATAAGTAACTTATGATAACATTTTACAGTAAAAACTCTAGTGGTATTTAGATGCGGAGTTCTTGCTTTCGATGAGTGTTACTTCGGTAGACTATACTGTTTGACCTGATTCTTCTCTTATTTTGATATAAAATAGTGTCAGATTGAAACTACTCGTTATTGTGTCATTACCAGTGAAGCAAAACCAGAATTTAAGAATTACCATGAAGATGTTCTCTGTTACTTTTAAGATAACAGATATAATCAATGTTGAAACTTTTTCTAGAGTAAGAAAAAGAACTTCCAATCTATGAAGTATTCTTAAAACTAATTTTTTAAAATTTTTTACTTATATTTTGCTTATGTTTCATAATATAAAAATGTAAATTTCCATCCCCAGGTGATACAGACAGCAACTGTTCAGAGGAACCTGAAGATTTGAATCAGTCTTTAAATTTTTCTGTTGTATGCGATCCTACACATTCGAAGCATAATACAGATACACCAACCACTGAAAAATTATCATTAAATAAAGATGAATTCCTAACTCATGACAATAAATCTGCAATTTTTCAGGCGTTTTCAAAGTCTACCTTATATGAGAACCATTCAGTTCACGATCTAGTTTCAACAAAAGCAGAACAAGTACATGATGTAAAATTCCATGGTTCTACTCAAACATGGTTATCCACTCCACGGCCTCTTCAAAATCAATGCTTTTCAGTTGACAATCAATCGTTCAAACCAGATAATGATAATATTATCTTAAAGCACAATATAGAAAATAATATCAGTATTTTAAATGATCCAGACAATAAAAATCATAACATTTCGCGTTTTGCATCAAATCCATTTGTTTCAAGTTGCATTAGCTTGAATAAGCAAGTTGCATCTAACAGTGAATTGTCAACAAAAGAAACATATTTACAACCTGTTGACTTCTATCCTTATTGTCTAAATGCAAACAGTCTTTCACAATATGGTATTCCACAATCAAGTTCATCATAAATAATCCGGCTTAAAAATTAATCCAATAATAATTGATATACCACTGTACAACATGATGTGATTCATACGATCCTCTTGTAGCTATCAGAATATATTACGACAAACATTTTACTTATCATTTACAAAACTAATAACAGATTATGGACACAAGAAATACAATGGTACTGAAAATCAAATGAAACTGATTATCTGAATTCAGAATTATTGGCATATTCCTGATGTGTTTCGTTTATCTTTGTGTTAACCATCTATACTACTTGTCTGTAAACATATTTCATTTTGTTGGACAATATTATTCAATTTATTCTATTGTATAAGTATTGCTTTTAAAGAAAGACTATCCAGTTAGTTCATCATGTATCTACATCAGTTTAGATTATTATTATTATTACTTAATTCGGATTTAATAACTAAACGTCACTTGTAAAATTGTTTTACAATGAATTCAAATTATGAATAAGACACTTTCATCTTACTTTAGTCCTTTTAAAAGGCATGAGATAAGGTTCACACTTAAAATCCAGTTAACTTTACCTATTCGATTTTTTTTTGTATTTTAAAGTAATTTATTAGAATTTTCTTATTATTGTATCTCTAAAGTCAATTGTGTTTAGTAATTGATAAGTTAACAATAAGATGGTTATCTTTTGGAGATAAAAAAAACAACATTTTAAAGTGAACAGAATTTCATTAGTTACAAGATTACGTAATTTTTCTTTTCTAATAGAATTTGTATGGTTTGACTGTTAACTACCATTCGATTGACATTAATTTATGATTAATTCTATTTTCATGTCATACAGTTCTCAATAATAATAAAATTCTATTCCCCAAACTAGTCAAGTTTTTTTTTTTGGGGGGGGGTGGATCTTTAATGCCTTATTTTCATTTATCACTAAGAATCCCACAATTTTGATTATTTTTATCATTCAAATGTTATAGATACTCTAGTAAGTAACTAGGGTGAAAATCATCCCTTTAATAAAACCCTGATGAAAGTGTACAAATGATAAAAGTGACTGCTTTGTTGGATGTTTCAAAATAAGAGATTTTCAATAGTTTAAAAGGGAAATTAAGAATCATGAGAATTATGAACACAAACGTACATGGAATATTTTTTGGGACGAGATGTAGTGAATTAAAAAGTTATTTGATAGTAGATTTTGACGATCAGATTACATATAAATGGTTTAACAGTGATATAATCTATACAATCATCAGTATCAGGTTGTAGAGATTATTAACTTTTTGATTGAGATCATGAACCGATTGATGTTAGACTACCATTGAAAGCCTGGAAGCACTTAACAGTCATTTCGTCTTACTGAGGGATTCTTCAGCAGTGCGCATACATGATCCCACACTCAGGATTCGAACACATAACCTTTGGTCTCGCGCGCGAACACTGAGTCGGCATCCAATGTTGTTAATGTCTAACCCCAGCCAACCCACGAAATTGCTCAACCATCTTCCATCGTACTAAGGTAAATACCTGTCTCTACCCGACTCGGTTTAACACCATTGGATGCCAACTTAGTGGTCTAGAGGTTAAGTGTTCGCGCGCGAGGCTCAAGGCCTTGGGCTCGAATCCCATGGGCGGGATCGTGGATGTGCACTGCTAAGGGATCCTACAATGGGACGAAACGACCATCCAGTACTTTCAGGTCTTCAATGGTGATCTAACATCGATCAATTCATGATCTCAATCATAACCCGTGCAATTTTAACTCATGTGAAACCATAAAATTGGTGTTCTTTCTATAAATGATTACAGATATTTTCTTTAATCTAATTACATATTTATGAATGGTTAAGCCTTTTCGATAATATATCATTGCATGAATTTCTTTAGAGTTCTTCACACCACCGTATATATTATGTAATCTTCGGTCAAACATTTGATTTGATAATATTATTACACAATTATTTACTTACATTTACTTTGATCATCAATCTTATAGTTTCATTTAATCTGTAAACTTATTTAAGTAACCACTGTAAGACTAATCATTTCAACCCTAACAATTTTATACTATGTTACCAACATTCTTAAATTTAAACGTTCTAATTATAAAGTATGTATTTGGCTAAGAATTGACTAACTTATTGAAAAGACTATCCTTTGTTTATAATTCTGCCTCTTTTTTTTAAAAAGACTTCCCATGTTGAATAGAAATGCATGAATAATTTATCAGTTTCACGGTAAGAGAAAGTAGGAATATATATACAATAATGTGAAGGGCCTATTTGATTAAAAGTTTATAAATCATAAGAGTTCAACTGAATATTCCTTACTCAGAATTAAACAAACAGCAGTAATTCACAATGTTCAATGAAAATTCAAAGTTTGAAATCAAGAAACAATAATCTGGTACATAATCATTTTGATTAGAATATAATTGACTGAAGAAAACATACTCCTTAAATGGAATAAAAAAATAAAGGACTCATGCAAACCATTTAACATTTAACTTAGTGGCATGATCATTTGATTGAAAATAAGATATTAGTACCTTGATACTCTCCTTACCATATCAAGAACTATACGGATAAATTCCAAAGCAAACCTACAAAATTTAATAGTTTTACTCAGTAATTAAGATTTAATACAAAGATAGAATGTTAAATGCAATTAAACTTCAAGTTTGTTAAAAGTTGTTTGTATATGTCTGTGGTAACTAACATAAATCATCTCAAAATAACCCATAGTGTCATTGAATAAGAAAATGAGAATTCAGCGAAGAAAATTTTCTTTTCGACGAAATTATTTACTTTAGCTGTACATTCGTATAGATAGTTATATGGAAAATGTATGTCTATAGAAGGATAGAATGAATTGTATCAGAAAGTGGATTCGACAATAAATAACAAATGAGGTTAACGTACTAATCAAGGGGTAAGGAAGAACAAAATTTAAGGGTCAGATAATAGTCCAATTGGCAGATATGGAGAAAAGCGACAAACAACAAAGGTCATAATAATAAACTGAATGATAATCAAGAAAAGGTAATAAAAGGTAATAATAATAAATGATTAGAGTTTAAAGTGCAAAATAGTAATTTAAAAATATGGATAATAATAAAAGCGCATTAAAAAAAAAACACCTAGAAACATACCCATTAAGGCCAGGGAAGGATAAGAGGTTGGACAAATCGTTTCTGCACGCAAAGTTCAGGCTTTAGTCGAATCCATTTTTTGATACAATCCATTCTATCCTTCTATAGACATACATTTTCCATATAACTATATATACGAATGTACAGCTAAAGTAAATGATTTCGTCGAAAAGAAAATTTTCTTCGCTGAATTCTCTTTTTCCTATTCAATAAATCATCTTCTTGTAAGTGATAAATACCAATGGTGATGACTTACCATGTAATTCTGAATAGAAATAAAGTGCACAATTTGTGAAGTGAGTAAATATGATCAGATTATGATTTTTATTGACTTTAACAAATTTAATTAAATAGACTTCTAATGATATTCAAAACTTACTTACTTACTTACACCTGTTACTCTTCGTGAAGGAGCATAGGCCACTCACCAGCATTCTCCATCCAACCCTGTCCTGCGCAATCCTTTCCAGTTGTTATTCATCCTTTCCATATCTGCTACTATTTCTCGATGTAATCTGTTCTTTGGCCTTACTCTTTTCCGTTTATCTTCAGCATTCCGAGTTAGGGCTTGCCTCTTGATGCAGTTTGATGATATGCGTAAACAGATTCCAATAAATATCGATAGTGAAAATACAATGGTTACAGAAAAAGTGAAAGGAAATTTATAACTGGACTAAAACTCATCATTATTAATTATCATAAAACCGAACTCGTAAATTTAATCTTGATTGGAAAGCTCATGAAATAGCTAAGGTTATTGTGATAAATAAAATATACAGAATTAATTCACCTCATTCTTTCACATCAAAATAAATTCAAGGTTAATTACCGGCCACTTTCTAATCATCTTTACTTTGAATATCACTTGATCTAAGTATATGAAATACCTTAATCATATTCAGACAAGGGTTTTGTGGAGATTGTAGATTGCTAGGTCCCGGGTTCAAATATCGCGGGGCGGCATCGTGGATGGGCGCTGCTGAGGAGTCCCACAGTAGGACAAGATGGCCTTCCAGTGCTTCTGGGTTTTGCATGGTGATCGAGCTTCAGTTGACTCATGAATTCAATTATTAAATTAATATCTATATAGTTTATTTTATTGTTATTAAATAGATTAGTTACCTTAAAAGTAGTTTCCTAAAAGTTTATTATGTAACTGTACTCTAAACACTGTTTACTCTAAATTAAATCATTCATTTCATCCAAAAATAATTGAAGTTATAATCAAAGAAGAAGAGTTTTATCTGTCATTTTCTTTACAGTTGAAATCATATTATATTGACGTTTTATAACAATATTGTAGTGTATGGTGGCGCAATTTCGTGGATTGGTTGAAGTTGGACATTAACACCCGTTGGATGCCGGCTCAATGGTATAATGGTTAAGTGCTCGCGCGTGACACTGATAGGTCCTGGGTTCGTAACTCGCGAGGCGGGATTGTGGATGAGCACTGCTTAAGAGTCTCATAATCTGGAGAAACGGCCTTCCAGTGCTTCCAAGTTTTCCACGGTGGTCTAGCTTCAATTGATCCACGATTTCAACTAGCGAAATTTTTAAAATCTGCACAAAACCCTATGTGATAATATTGTAGTTGTTATATAGCTTAAAAATTTCAATAATTTGTTAAACAGATATTGTAAACCATTGCTTGATTGAGAAAAAAACACATTTGAGAATTTGCTTTTATATCTGTGAAATTATTTGTAAACGTTCACCAACATATGCTATTTTAAGAATGTGACCAAAAATTTGATGAAGTTAACTTGGTTTGAAGTATTCAGTCAACGTGTACGTATCAAGTACAAAGTTCATAATGAAGTTAATAAGTCATTGACATTTTATTTTATGTACTGGCTTTAATCAATATACCCACAGAATTTAGAA